ACGGGACATGCGCGACAAGGGGGGGGGGGAGGGGAGGTAACGGGAGGTAAAAGACACGAAACGTATTCAATGCTGACTTGCAGAGGGGGCAGGCAGCGGTATGCTTCCTCCTCCCAACACGAAGGACAACCTTGTCTTGTCAAATAACAAACGCCACCACTCACTCTCTCTCTCTCTCTCTGCACCCCCCCAACCTCATGGCGAATCGCCGCTTGAGTGATGTGAGAGCCTGGTCCGGTGAGAATCCGGCGTGCTCCGTGCCGGCTTTGTAGGGGTGCGAGACCGACGGTCTCACGACTACGGCATGCACGGCAATGAGTACACCCCCCCGGGGCACACAACGGCCAACGTCCACTCAGGCACAATCTCAACGACCACTTCTTCCTCACCAGAGCCGACATGATGGGCGAGTCCAGGCAGATGACCCGGATAAGCTCTGGCCTGGACGGCTCCAGCGCCCAGTAGTGCAGCCGCTGGTCGTGAGAGGCCGACAGCAGCCGACGACCGCCCCTTGCCCAACTGAGAGCCGTGATGGCTCTCGCGTGCGCCTCTACCACGCGACCGATGCCTCTTTTCGAATAAGAAGCAGCATCGGCCCAGCGGAACGGTCAGTTGTTGTTGTTGTTGTCTTCACATTTAAAACCGTTCCGATCTCTGTCTACCCAGTACCTTCGTATGTCCGTACTGATCCAACACTCGACGCGGTCGATTCTCGTGGTCGCAGGCAAACTTACCCTAAAACGTTACACTCAAATAAAACGGCTCCGAGGGGTCCGCAAGTCAATAGAATCAACGACAGATATTCTGGAGTCCTCCACTCCCTCTGCGCGCTATGCGAGGTAACAACTGAGACTAGGGGTCACCATCACGGGCCGGAGAGAATGAGGTACACCCCCTTGGTTCAATCTTGGTACTTCACAACGCAAGCAGAGACAAGGCCACCTGTCAGTAGGAAGTGCCGGTTCGGCCCCGGTCGGTAAAAAAATACAACACCGCTACTGTGTTTTGAGGTGTGACCGTGCGTGTATGCGTCCACCGTTTCGTCCCGCCAAGTCGGCGCTCGAGGGTGTGTGGGAATGTAAACCGCACTTGAAGGCGGCCGTGGTCGCCGTTGTTGTTGTTGCTGTTGTGCCGTTTGTTTAATGTTGTTGTAGCTGTTGTTGTTGGTGGTGGTGGTGTTGTCTTGCCATAAAAAAACCGTCCCGTTCTCGGCTCAGAGCGTTCTGGCATCCTCACTGATCAAAGCTGACGCGGACGTCATCAGGGGGTGTCGCACGTAGTTGTGTCTGCTTCTTGCTCCATGGGAAGGGCTTGTTTCAAGGACAACGTAATGGCCAACCACAACGCCTTTCTGTGTCGTCGACATGGATGCCCGCTCATCCTTTTTCCGTAGGCCGCATACATGAAAGTACCACACTGTCCGCTTTCCGGACCAAGTGTTGCAAACATTGAGTGTAGCACGCTCCAGTGCATGCCGAAACCCCAACACGAATCTTCCCCAGCCCACGAGAACCACAAATAAAACACACGCTCCAACACCCCTCCCAAAGCAAAAAAAACACCTCGAGAGCGAAACACTCACGGAAGCCAACCCCGACAACACTCACGAAATTAACCATGAACCGGCACACCACCCCGGCGCGGACCCCACTAACCTGGTAACGAAATCCCAGATGACCACGATCCCCGTCGCGTATCCCACCGCCAGGTAGGCCCCCCTCTTGTCGAAGCAGCACACCGTGGCGTCCTCCACGCCATAGCTCAGGACGGAATCCACATGGTCCGGGACAGTTTTGGCGAACGGGTCTGTCGCAAGACGGGGCGGAAAGGGGGGCACAGGGGAATAGATGCAGGGGTCGACATCAGCAAATGAAACAAGACACGAATACCAGAGATTTGTGAAGAAGACATCAATGAAGCTGTGGTCCAAAGGTAGGTGCACACACGAAACTTTGCTCCGGCAGTTGGCTCGCCGGGTGCGTGTGTTTCCAGTGCTAGTGTGGAAATGCAACAATGCTAGCAAATGGTAGAGTAAATCCTCAGGCGTGGCGCTGTCGAGAGGGCGGCAGACCAGGTTGGGGGCGACCGAAGGCAAGGAGCGACAGGGAGTGGGTCATGCCAAAGGTTGCGCGGAGAGGAGCAACGAGTATGACCTATAGGAAGAATCTGCGCGACTGAGGCGGTACTACAAGTGTTAACGTGCTGAGCTGAGAACGGCTGCGTTCCCATGTGAACGGCAGCAACAACAACAACGCAGTACACTAACGCATGTTTACACAAGATACATGCTGTACCACGCAGTCCGAGGTGATTTCCCGTATTGTCCGAAGGACATATTTAGTCCATGTATCCCCGGGCAGCCCTTACCAAAGACGAATCCCTCGCCTTTGCCAACCAATCCCGGAGGGGGTTATTGTAGCGTCTGTCTTGTAACTTCGCACTGTTAGTGCTTGTAGCCCTAACCGGTCGAGGTTGGAGGGGAGCGTCTTGTATCTAAACCGCAGCTGCCGTGCTGCACATAATGTGGAGCTCGAGCGCACTACTATATATCAGACAGAGGGAAGCGTGGAGAGTGCTACTGCTTGGAAAAGCGTCGCGTGCGGATGTCAGAATAGGCAAGCGCGACAACTGCAGGTTCTCTGGCTCAAATCCACGAGAAGGGAAGGAGGACGAGAGAACGCAAGCGGTGACACAACGGCTACAAAGGCTGTTTCCTGTCGGCGAGAGCTGTTGCCACACGGATCTCTGCCTCATCCGTGTACCCAGGACTCCAGGATCTCATCTAAGCAGCAGCTGATACGTCACGACTGAAACTGTAGGAAACTCACCTAGCAGCTCTAGGTTCATGATTTATCCAACACAAACGTGTGGGGTGCTAGCTCAGCTGTGGACAGCCCTCTCCCTCTCTGCTGGCTCTGTGCCGCTGCTGTGCGCTGCTGTTTCTGGGCGGTGTTTGGTTTCGCCGCCAGAGGCTCCCTACATAGGAAGGCTACCCTGGGTATATTTGGTACTGTATTTAATTATCATCTGTCGATCCCCGCGAATTCGTTGAGATCGTCCATCACATCACATCCAGTTCAGCGAGCCCGATCACCAGCGGGTTGACGCCTCTCTGCCTCGCGTGAGAGACTCGTGCACGCACCTAGCAATCCGGGCTCCGACGGGGCTCCATTTATTGATCGGCGCTCTTCCCCCAGACGTCCTTCGGTGACAATATTGCAACAGCATCAAGTTTGAGAGTTAAGCAAGCAGCAGCAGGTTTGAAAATCATCCACATCTTACAAGATGGCCTGGTGGGGAGCGTTGGCCAACGGGGCTTCAACGGGTGCTGCCTTGGAGGACAACAGCGAAGATCCCATTGATCTCACGTCCGACACGGAGATCTCGCCATTGCCCGGCGCGGATGGTGTCGGGATTGAATCTGCTGCTTGGGGACTCAAGCTGATGGCAGCGGTACGCAATGAGCAACGGCTGGCTAATCATTTTTGTCCGTTTGTTGGGAGGTTCAGCTCTAGCAATGCAGATAGAGAGGAAACGGTGTCAAGATGCGTTTGGCATATCTAGGGCTATGGCCGCACCCCACGTCCGGAGGGGTCTGGCGTAAAGGTAGCAGAGATTAGCAAGCCTGTTGCCTCTCGGTGACGGTTTCAAAATCGGACTTGCTTGAAGGAAAGAGTATTGCACGCTTGTAGCACGGAAGAGACAACGGCGGGGCGGGCGGATGGTAACTTTGCGGCCGCGGATCGGAGAAAATAGCCACACGCCAGCAGCTGGCCTAGCGCCCGTGACGCTTGATACGTTCTCTCTGACAGTATAACAGGGACTCGTCGTGGGTTGCTGTACACATATATTGCCACTCCCCAAGTTTTTTTTGAAATTCAATTATTTTCCGTCGCTTCTCCGCCAACAAAGCTCCGCCCTCGTGTACTGCTGTTGATTTCTATTGACTTGCGGACCCCTCGGGGCCATTTGATTTGAGTGTACCTTTTTAGGGTAAGTTAGCCTGCGACCACGGGAATCGACCGCGTCGAGTGTTGTATCAGTACGGACATACGAAGGTACTGGGTAGAGAGAGATCGGAACGGTTGTTCATGTGAAGACAACAGTAACAACTATCCCATCCGAAAGACTAACGGTTGGTGTGCATTACTGCTGCGGCTGTGTAACCCGATCGCTGCTGCCGTCAGGCCTGTGTTGCTGTGATGTTCGTAAGTTGCATTTTTGCTTTTTGGTTCCCGGGGTCGGCAGGATGGGGGGGGTGATAACGTACGGTTTCACTCTCTCTCTGTCGCAGCTTGGTTACTTGTTCCGTGTCCCTCCTTGGCCACGTAGCAATCGCTTGATCGAGTCCTTCTACTGTTGGACCCGTGCCCACAAGCCCTCCGTGCGTAGATCAAAACGGAAACAGCATCGCCATGGCGCACAACACCGCTGCTTCGGACGTTGCTGCCCACTCTGCGACCTTGTTCCCCAGGGTCAAGGATCTTGTCACGAATCTGGCGGTCATGATCCTCTTGCTCCTGCTGCAGGCCGCCGCCCTTCGACCGGCGCACGAGAGGAATAGCATGGTGTGTAGAGCATGTCGCAACACACCATGCTCTTCCTCTCGTGCGCCGGTCTGAGGGCGGCGGCCTGCAGCAGGAGCAAGATGATCATGACCGCCAGATTCGTGAGAACATCCTTGATCCTGGGAAGCAAGGGCACAGAGCGGGCAGCACCGTGCGAAGCAGCGGTGTAGCCCGCCATGGCGACGCTGATACTACAGTTGTTTTGATCTAGGGCCTTGTGGGCACGGGTCCTACAGAACTAGTCCTTGATCCAGCAAGATTGCTACGTGGCCAAGGAGGGACACGGAATATGCAAGAAAAGGGACAAGGGGCGGGAGGGTGCACAGAGGAGGATCAGGGAGGGATTCCACGCTTATGTAGCTTTGGATCGAATGAGGTTCCTCGTGACACGCAAGGTGAAACGCAAGGCTTATTGCATTGCTACCCCCCCCCCCCCCCCCCC